ACAGAAACCTAACAAACGAATTTCATACAGTATTTCTTATTGATATGGAATTAAGAGAAAAATAACATTTATAATACCACTTGTACATGTTTTAATTTTTTAATATATCTATATATTTATAGATATTAGATAAGCATGCTGATTGTACAAAAATAAAGAAAATTGAAACATTTAGAGTATGCATTTATTATAATGCTAGGTACATGGAGAGAATTTACACGGAGAGAATTTTCTCTTAGAATTTAGCCTGAAAATCATGATAATAGTAGGACAACATAGTATTTCAAAGAATTGTATATGAGTTTCTTTAATTTACTAATATGTGTCATAATAAGATATGTAATATATTTTATTAATTTTACTAAAGGGTATAGTAAAATTTCAACATTTTAAAATATGTTACGCAGTTTATAATTCTTTATTATTTTAAAAGAATAGATGCTAAGTAGTCATTAATATATAAAATAGCTTATATACAATTTTTACCATACAGAATGATATTTTTAATCTGATTTAGTCACTTATAATTTTACCATGTAACATAGTAATTGATCGATTGTAATCGATATTTATCGGTTATTTTCGTTGTGTGTCTCTAGCTACGCTAGAACTTACTCACTTCAAAACATTTTACAATCTGCATTATAATTTTTACTACATCATTTATAAAAAATCTCTTGTATATTTCAAAAAATCTATCGTTACTGATAATATTTCATTATTGTCAAGTTGTCCCAAGCTTATTACCAAACATGATCGATGAAATTTGTAATGAATTTTGCGGTAAAAAATAACGAAAAATTCTCTTCGTGTAACGTTAGAAAAATTGCTGATAACAATAAAACGTTTTATTGTTATCAGTAATTTGCACAGCACTTCTCAGCATTATAACGTTAATTTTTTCTTCTGCATATAATGTTAATTTTTTCTTCTGCATATACTAAAAAGTACTATGGAAAAATACTATGGAAAAAACTATGGAAAAAATACTATGGAAAAATACTATGGAAAAAACTTCGTTTTTTAAATTTCTGATCGGAGAGAATTTTGGCTATTTTAAGGTATCTTCCTTTCTTTTACAATGAAAATAAATGTGATGATATGAAGTTTCTTTTATAATGTACAATTTTAAGTGACATAAAATACATAAAATTTATTGATAATACTTATTATCGAACGATTTCATTAATTTACAGCAAAAAAATGAGAGAGAAATCTATGCTGGTTTAGACATTGAATCGATGTTGATTCAACATCGCTTGACGTTTATTTCTAGCTGAGAAGATTTACTCAAATCTGAATGATAATTTTTATGTTTTCATTCCGTAAATAAAGTAAAAGAAAAAAGTTGTAAATTATTTATACTTTTTGTCCAAAATAAAGTCCTTGATTATTTAAAATCTGTGAGCGATAGAATTTTTTAATCTTATATTCTTTTTTAGTAGCTGCAAATACATAAAAATCTTTATAAAAATTAAAATATGGAGAATAGAATTTTTGTAAATCAGTTTTTATAAAAATTAAAATATGGAGAATAGAATTTTTTTAAAACAATATGTTATTTAATTATGATATGTTCTGCTTTGATCACATTTTTTATCTATTAATAATAATTAGATTGCCTGATGGTCATTTCGCAATTAATTTTTCTTTAGAAATTATTATATGGAGGAAAGTTTGCAATTTTTAATTATTATTTATTTATTAGCAATCGTTAATATAACGTATGCTTTTTAATATCAAGTTCTAAATTGGAACTTTATTAGACTTACTGGACTTGATTCGAATACAATTATACAAAAAAAATTTACTTTCTCTGATGCTTGATTCGTAAAGAAATGTAATTTACTTTTTAATCATAAGTGAAAAAAATCTTTCTTAATTTGTCTTTATTAATTTATCAGACATTTTGTACATTTTTTTATAAAAAACGAAAAGGGGGGTGACAAAAAGTGCTTTAATATTTGTCGATTTCTGCTCAAGCGTACACAAAAGTTACTCACCAATTCGGATATTGGCATTCCGTTTTCTGACATTTTAACAAAAAATACGGTGCCACAGTCTCACAAACCCGATCGAGCGGCCAATCTAATTCGAAAATCTAGCGAAAGTATTTATACGTTGCTGATATGTTTAAGCAGACGCGCGAAGTTTCTTTCCGCCACATCTAAGGCTACAGTCCACTTGCTTCTTTTAAATGCTCTGAACATTACGCTCAAACGTTAATACGCTCCGATTGGCCCATTACTGTTTCAAATGCTACAATTACTACGTGAACGCTTCAGCCAACCCACCTTCCGAGGTGAGGCAGTTGGAGCGAAGCGGGAGCAAAAATGATAACGTATTGATGACGTAATCAGAATTGCTAGGAGCGTTCCGAAATATCAAATGGACCAGTCATGTCAGTGCTACAAATGTTCTGTAGCGTTTAAAGCGCTAAGTGGACCGCAGCCTAAATATATCAGACGTATCGAAAAATATATCACACGCGATTTTCTCTTAAATGTACTGTCCTGCTATGATACTATCCGCAGCCCATGTCTGTCTCTCTATTAAGCGGTTGCTTCGCATTCTCCATAGCATCTACCGTCCCCTCCGAGCAAAGCGCGAGACGCCGATAATGGATAATATAATTGCAGACGTTCGACCGTTTAATATAACGAGATCGGTTAGTATCTTCGGAAAGGAGGGGGAAGTGTTGAGACAAAGACTCTATATGAGGATAACAAGGCGAAAAAAATTAAATTCCATACAGCACAGAATATCGCTGCAACATGTAATGTTGCTGCAACTTTATGCTGTTCATGGGTAGGGGTTCATTTCAGATTATCGACAGTGTGAGGTTGCGAGACTCGCGAATCTTTAATTCTTATTCTTATTTTCTCAAATCTCAAAACAAATACCTACGTCTACCTAAAAATATTAATTATATTATTCTATGATAATATAATAACATATGATATCTCTTTCGGCGCCTTCTTGCGATGGCCATTTAAAAGTTAAAGTTAATTACCATCTTATTTATCAGAGGACTGTAAAACAATCAACAATGAATAATAAATCAATGACGTAGTAATTATTTCTAAACTTCTTCTTATATTTATGTATTGTTTTTTTTTTTTTATTAAAGTATGATTATTCAAAACAAAAGTAATTTTGAGAAATTTATTTAATCAACATTGATTTTTTTATTTAAATAATCATGCAGAAAATTTTCATATTTGATTGTAGAAAATAGCTTTGCATGCTAACTATAATCTTATAAATTTGTGTGAATTATTCTTGATTTTACGTAATATTTTTTGCTTGTTACTAAACTCTATTGTAATTTATTTACGATTTTATCGCTGCTTAAATTTAAATAAATTATTATATCAGTTACTCGATCATTTGCTGATTTTGTAAAATCAGGATAAAATGGACTTTTGCTTACGTAACACCTTTACCATATGTAAAGTTATAGAATTAAAAAATTTCATACATGTATATGGATACCCGAGCGAATTTGCACCGATTTGGATTGGATAATGTTCTACTTATTGATTGACTTATTGGTTGGCGTTACCAATATTCTACCAATAGGAGAGCATCATTAACGTTATTAATTCAATCCTGGGTAGCGATCATGTAACTATTTCGTTAGGGCGGAAACGTGAAAAGTGAAAATTCCTTATATGCATGTGTGCGTATATACAGAGTGAATGTTAATGGATGTCTCAATCTTTTACCATAGGAAGTAAGTTATCGACTGAGCTATGATTATCTAAATGGTGTATAGTTGATAACTCACTTCCCATGGTAAAAGGTTGGGACATCCATTAATATTCACCCTGTAAATGTACGAATATATATACATACATAAAAATTTGCACTTTTCACGTTTCCGCTCTAGCAAAAAAGTTACATGATTGCTACCCAGCTGATTGGTGCAAATCCGCTCGGGCCGAATACGTTATAATTTTGTTTTATTGCTTTTTGTGTTCTCAAGACAGATTTTGATCGGCTATAATCAAATCGGCTACTGAGCATCGCTCAAGTTATTTATATTTATTTTGAATATGAAATCAAAAGATTGTATAATCAAGTTTGGATACAATATTATATATCAATGCATCATTATGGGATAAGACGATAAGCAATTAAGCTGCTGAAAACGATTTATTGAAATATTAATTATGGGAGTAAATTTTACCCCCACAACCGGCTTTTTACCAATTTGTGTTCGGTGTCAAAGCACTGTTGCCCGTATGAGGATCCAGGGGATCGATTCTATAGCGGGGAGCACAGACTCTTGCATAACGCATAACACGTAATGCATAAGAATATATACCAATCGAAGTTCTCCGTTTCTTTTCCTTCCATGTAATAGAGAACTCTGGTTGGTTCAATTTCTTATGTCTCATGTTTTATGCATTATGCAAGAGTCTGTGCTCCCCGCTTATATCTCGAAACGAGGTGAAAATTACAAAAGTGAGTGAATTTACTAGAATATTGATAATTTCATTGGTCAACACCTAGGGTGCGTTCCGTTTCTCGCATGATGTGCATAATGCATCGTTTATCCTTGTTGCTCACCAAATGTTAAACAAGGACAATGGATGCATCATGCACATCATGCGCGATACGGAACGCACCTCTAGTAAATTTGTTCACTTTTGTAATTTTCACCTTGATTGAAGAATGAAGATACAGAATCGACCTCCAGCAGCCATTAGATATATTATATGTGCGTCGTACGACGCTTTGCAACCAATCAGAAAATAGGATTCCAATGGATTTTGCCTCGTATCATCGGAATCCTGTTTCCTGATTGGTTGCGGAGCGTCGTACGACGCAAATCGGATGCAGGGTGAATCCAGCATATCACTGCGCATGTTCTGACACTTCGACGATGATGCTCCCATGTAAACATACCCTAAAGGTGTCTTCATGCTGACGCTCGACTCAAGCATCAATTTTGATCACGTGACCAGTATAAAAAATATCTTTATACAAAAAAGGACAGTGTGGCCGCTTTCAGATTTCTCTCTGACTCAATCGTTGTATTGACTGAACGCACCTGTCACATCCAAGAGGTGATTGGTTACGCGTCATTTCTTGGCAAAACGTGTAACTCACAATCAGCTACAAATAGAACAGACTTATTGATGTTATCGTGGTGATTTATCATTGTCCATCATCATCCCAGCTGTAGCTATAGCAGGCCAGCCTGTCTACACCTGGCTATAGCAGATATACGGTCGCCGTGTTATGGTTAAGTTATATTTGTAAACTGTAAACTTATTACCTCCATTTGATGGTAGAAGCCGTTATTCGCAGAACGATCGGATCGTCTGTGAAATTAGTGATACCTATCGATTTTTCCTAGCGATATTTAAGCGTCTAACGCATTTGTATCGTGTTTACACAATGGACGAGTACGACGAACCTTCAGACGTCGAGATGGTGCCTTTCAATAAAATAGAGAGATCCGAAGCAATATTAAAGCCAGAATTACAGGTAACAGAAATGAATGATTTTAATTGATATGTATGTCGTTAATATAATATTTTTAGGTGTGCTTCAAATTACACTTCTAAATTCTTTTAGATACAGACATTAGAGAGTAATTCTGAAAAATCAATAGACATGTCAGGCATAGATATATTTAGCAAAGAGGAAAGATTGAAGTTAGAGGAACGAGCAAAACGTTTTGGCTTGACGGAAAAATGCAAGGAATTATCACTAGAAGATGATCTGTATAGCAGGTATAAGATATTTAATTGATTCGGTAAATTGATTTGATAAAAATAATTGCTGTTGTTTCATATTCTTATGTAATGCTTGCAGCATGGGTATTGCGGACGATGAGAACGTAAAGAACGTTAGATTGAATGTAATTCACATGAGAGGAACTGAAGATATGAGCACCAAAGATGTATTTAAATATTTCCAAGATTATGATCCAATGTCAATTGAATGGATCAACGATGTATCATGTATGCTTCAAAAATTTGATTTTATTTGAAATAAAATGACACCATATCATTTGCCACTGACATTTTGATATATAATTTGTAATATTACAGGCAATGTAGTCTGGTTTGATAAAGACACAGCAGCTAAAGCTATGATGGGATTATCTAGGAGAATTTTAGGCAGTATCGTAAAATATTCGGATCGAGAGAACAACGATTCTGAGAATACGAAAGATGACACAGTGAAAGCAGATGAAGAAAACGAATCTATCAGTGCAGACAAGAATGGAAAGGAAGACAATTGCATTAGCATTAAAGATATCGATTATCCATTACCTCCTGGTACATGGAGAAAAGGTATCGATTATCCAAAATGTAAAGGAATCTACTTGAGATTCGCTACTAAGGCGGACAAAAAACAGGTCAACGCAGAGAAAAGAAGTGAATACTATAAAAAGTATGGAAATCCCAACTTTGGAGGTAAATGCAATTATGTATAGCAAAATCAAATTAGAATTAAAAATCATGAGGACAGATGATAAAATGATTTTGTTTCTATGTAAATATGTAGGTCTCAAAGGAATTTTAACGGAATCTCGTAAGCGTATGTACAAGCAAATAAAACAAAATAAACGTAAATCATTGGACGAGGATCAAAATCAGGATCAAACAAAAAATCCATGGGGTGCGTTGTCCGAGACGTGGGGTTTGAACGATGTTGTAGAGGATGATTTTCTCCCATCAAGAAATGGTGTTAAAGACCAAGGACGTAGCATAAAGGAAAGATTGGGTCTCAAATACCCGGAAAAGGATATGGTGAAAGCTGAAGAATCGGGTGAGGCTAGTTCGAGCGATAGTGATAGTGATGAGAGTTGGTGTAAACGGAGTAAAATTCCTCGCATGCGAATGCACGCCGATGATGAGGAGGAAAAAGTACAGAAGCGTCGGGCGAAACTTCGAGTCCAAGTTAGTTTTTTATCATTAAACAAATTTTTTCTTAATGTGTTCCACAAGTTATATCCAAGATGTATTTTTTTCTTTTAGATGATTCTGAATAACTTAAATAACAGCGGTGACTTACGATCAAAGCTAGGAAAACCGAAAGCGAAAGTACAATATCGCGAGCCCATTCAAGTAGTGGTCACAAATACGATCGCAATAAATTCGAAACGCGATAATTCTGGGATAATTCGGCAGCAGGGCCATCAGAATGTGAAAGAAATACACTCGATGGAAAGAGAAGAAGGAGAATGGCAGGAATCGGAAGAGGATGGACATGAAGAAGACAAGGAGGAACAGAGGCTAGGCCAGATAAACACAGAGGAAGAGCGAGAAGAAGGAGAGGAGCAAGAAGATGAAGAAGGTGAACACAATGAAGATGAAGAGGACAGCAGCGAAGAAGACGTGCTTGCAAAGGAGATTCAGGGCCCTAAAGGCAGTGTGATAAAAGTAGTCCCGCCCAAACCGCGTATTGCGTCCACTGTGTGGGCAAGACTAAATCATGCAAAAAGCGAAGCTAGTGACAGCTATTTAAAAAGCAGGTAAGGAAATAATTTAGTTAATGTTATCTACCTAAGATATGACAAACAGCATAATTTTTTTCAATCGTATATTTTAATTTTCAACTACAAGTTGGCAAAAAACGGAGGCAGTATGTGTTTCACTGAAGTCGCTTGGTTATCAAAAATCTCCACAATTGCAATGTATTTTCTTATCAATTTTTATTGGAATAAATATTTCATATATTCTAATTAATTTTTCAAATTAAATGTTCCGACAATATTTTTCATCTTGCTGATTTTGTTAAAATGTAGATGAATACATGTAGAGCGTATATAATACTTTGTGTTATATAAATTGTGATATACAATAATATTTTTAATGTATGCCTTCAGTATCTTTGGGAAAATGCGCATCTTTTTTAAACGTATGCGTATAATTTATTATTACATGTACTTTGACATATACATCTGCAAGCAAATTCATGAATTCTGTATTTTTTTTAAAGGTCATCAAACAGTCGCGATTTGAGGAGTACTCTAAAAGGCGGTGACCTGCGATCACGTATCGGAAATCACACCAGAGGACGTTCTCCATTGAGAATAGAAGTAAAAAACGACAAATACACAAAAGACAATAGTGGCGGAGATTGATTCCTATACGAACAATCTAATTGTTTAAAAGCTCGAAAATTGTAAAAAGCGCAGATGTATTGTTTTAAGATTTTTTCGTAACATTTTATATCGGCTACGGTGGAATATAGTTTTAAATTAGCATGTGGGTATATATGTATTCAAGTTTACATAATTTACTGGCTTAATGTGAAGTTTTTCTTTTTTCATCATTGAAAAGATTGCAATTTTTTTTACACATGCATATATCATGAGAAGAGGAAAATATTGATATATAAAAAATTTTTATTTTATACTATACGTTAATGATCGATCTTCCAGTAATAACCATTATTGTTTTTTATTATTATTAGACAGATAATGAATGCTTCCGATAATATCGCGTGTAAATTTGATTATGACATAGATCATGTGTCTACAAACTGATGTATATTTCTGTGAACAGAAAAGAAAAACGGAGTACTTTGAACAATTAAGTACTTTAACCGAAATATTTGTGCAATTATGGGAAAAGAAAAATTTCGAAGAAATTTCTCTTATATTGCTTCGAAATTATGATATAAAACAATGTATCTTTTGCACAAAGAATATCATACGAAAGTATAGTTCCGTAAGCTCTCGGAACAACATCGCGTTTTTCAGATGAATTGATGAAGTGAGATATTTTGTAAAAGCATTTCTGATGATTCAGGATAATATATTACTGCAACAAAAGAGTGATGAAAGAATTAAATAATAAATAATGATAATCTATGCTGTGTTACATTTATACCATTTCTCTGATATATTCTCTTATCGTCGAATTTTCTGGTTGATAAATTTTGACGGTGTGACTCGATAAATTGTGAAAAATTATGCGAAAAGCGCATTAAAATTTTACTTTATTATTTTTCAACATGATGTAACCAAAAACGAAACTTACAGAAATTATTGCTTCGTAATTTAAAATTAAAAACTTTACAGGGACAAATAACACAGTGAAGATAATTGGCCAATAGTTTCTTTTTATATTAGCACAATAATAACTGGAATAGCTATTTAAAATACAATAATCGATAATGATTAATTAACATGAATTATGACGATTCGTTACGGATAACAATTATTTGGAACAGCAATCGAGGTAATAAAGAAATCGGGTAAAGAACACAGTAAGTACATTTATTTCTTAAATGGCTGCTTAGCTACATTCATAGGTTCTCGTTTATAAATTTCTCCGTTCAATATTATATTTTTGAAAAAATAATTCCAAATCGAAGTGATTGTATTCGATTTGATTATAAATATCGAAATGATCCATTCACCGCTTTTGTGGCTAATTTTTAATCTCTTATACTGTATCATGTTTCATATTTATCGAATGAACAACGCATTAAAAATTACGTATTTAATTTTATCCGTATATTCGATTATCCCTTCACCCACACGATAATTTTACGTCGAACATAAAATTATGTTCGTTATAAGTAGAATTAAAATTTAATCTATTTTAATTTTGGCTTTCTGATTACTTAATTTATTGTATTCATTGAATCGCCCTATTTTCAATGAAATTTCTCTGAATATTATAAATTTAGCATATCTGAGGAGCAAATCCGATTAATGTGATCGATCCAACGCGGCAGAATAATCCACTCTGATTAAAAGCATTACGGTTTCAGCTCTACAATCTTGTTAAATAATAAGATAAATTTACCGTCGTTTTATAAACGCTATGAATGCAGCTTCGGCGACAAGAAACTATCAATGATTCACAGCGACACAATTGAAACGGACAAGACGATATCTTTCACGATATTGCCGTTCGGGGATTCGATATGATTAGAATTGGAACGACAAGAAACCGAGGGATAGAAACAATCTGGGGAGACGAAATGCTGACCTTTTTATTTAATCGAAAAGCTAAAAGGGCCACTCAGTTGAATCGCAGCTTTATAGGCTTTTGCGTCCCAAATTGTTTCAAGCGTTGATTGCGATGGTATAAATACATCTTCCCGCGATGGAATTCTTGCCGCACATATCTGCATACGTTTGCTGCGCACAATGTGAAAAATCCGATCTTGCCCGTCGTTGAAGAGGCGGTCGTGCGGCCCTTTCTCTTCAAAGGCTTCTTTTTCCTTCCCTCCTTCACTTCTATTCTACGTAAAAACGCTAAATAATAGTCAATCACTCGTTAACTCAAAAATTAACAACTGTCATTCTACAATTAGTTGAGGAAACGGCATATTACTCTTCCATCTCGCTCCGCTGCCTCTCTTTCTACTCTTCTTTACAAGTTCAATGATATAGCCGTCGAAATAACATCGAAAATCGACAGACGAAAATATTCCGTGAATGCATCGGATATACAAGAATCGGCAACAACAACAAGTACACATACATAACTTTAAGTATATTAGGCCAGATGATATCGATAATGTCTCATCGATATATTACGCGTAACGTTCTACGTTCATCATCTCAGCATTTTCCCCAAAACACTTGTTTTTCACCTTGTATCACAACCCAAGTAACACAGCGCCTACAAAGTGTTAAGAAAGCGCTAGAGTGTATACATGCATATAAGCGCTTTTTTAGTGCTTTGCAGGCGCTGTTGTGTTATTTAGGAATCTATATGTATGTACTACGTATCCAATTATCATTGACAGCGAGAGCTTCGATTTCTCGTCGGCTTACAATTTCGCTGAGCGCACGATTTTATTATCGCTTGCCCATGATCTACGATATTATACGAACTGTTTAAAAGGCCTCAGACGTGAGAGAGCATTCTTCAAAAGGACTTGATATATGGATCGCATCCGTTGATGTAACAGGTGTCTTATTTAACTCTGCAGTAGTGACATAAGGTCATAAAAGACTCCGCGGGCGGAGCCAGCGTTTTACAGGGAGAAAATAGCTGAATATATATTGTGTATTTAAATTCTAACATATTATCGTGAACTGGTATGAACTGGTTTTCTGTCAAGACGAATTAAACTCCATAGAGAGATTACACTCACTATACATTATGAGTATACGGTTTTCAGAAATCTCAAGTGCAAGATTTAGTATATCAATTTAATTTAAATTTTTAATTCAACTCTATCACGGGAAGAGAAACTTGTAAGAAATAGAAGCACAATACATATGTATGTATCTATCGGAAGTAGTTCTTTGTACTCGCATGTGGAATACTCAAATAACGACTAAGATCCATCCGTAGATCATTAGAAGATTGATATACATTTACTTTACTTTGAGTTACACGTACAACTAAAACCATCTGAATTCGTCATCCAATACCATCAACTAACGTGAAATGACCTAATTTAGAATCTGTTGTTATAAAGGATTCACCTGGTAATTTCATTTTGGAAGAGATTATGCCTGTGTGTACGTCGTGAGGTAATCGAACTTATACTTGCCACCTAATTGTAATTTATTCGCGTTTTATAATCGAAACTTGTACCGCGCAAGAAAACTGTAAACCGCGAGAGATTCCTTAACTCTTTTGCCCACGACAATTTGCCAAACGAATTCGCACAACGGATAAACATCGAAGGAAGATAAATATGTATTAAATCGGAGACGCGGAGATTGAAATCATGACATTATGGTAATGATAGAACATTATTCGCTGTTATGTTCCTCGCATTCTTAAGAAGGAGGCGAGGCGCATCAGCATGAATCAGCCTCAACGAGAATCCGTAATCACTAGAAATGCATCTTAGATCTAGATAAGAATCTTACGAGCAATGAATTTTTATTATTAATTTATTTTTTAATTCTTTAATTATTATTATTAGATTATCGAAGAAGGTGAAGATCGGTAACAGTTAATAGAGGAAGTAAATACTTTGTCCCTGTTTTAGTATTTTTTTCCTTCACTTCTTTTTTTCTTAATTTTTACCTCGTCTCTCACAACCTATAGTTTTCTTGGGAATAGGATTAAAAAAATTCTCTATGTATTCACAGTAAGGCCGAATGGAGCTATTGATATCTGTCAGCGAATTCGATTTCTATAGCAATTCAAATTGACTTTATCGTAAATAGATTTTGGATTACGATATTAATTTTGGGTGGCTCTAAGAGCAGATGAGAGGTTCAAACGATGTAATAACATTTTGTAAAATTTCCGAAATACTAACTTGGGACTTCCTTCTACACGTTATTCAAATTTTCACTTTAGTTCTCATGACTCGGGCGCCGTCGTTACTATCACACGCTCAGAAAGAAGATCACGATTCTCTTTTTAACATAAATTATATACTAATATTTTCGTGAACGCGCCGATTATTGCACGTCGCGTATTTGCTATAACGTTGACTATTATAAACAGATTAAATACCAAAAGAAATTCTGCCACACACGTACGTACGTACGCACGCAAACACAGTCATACGTACACACATAAGACGAAAAACATCATACCAAATGAATTATACGAATGCGCTACAAGTGTTCGAATCTCGTAGACGTAGAGCGAACGTTTAGTGTATCGATATTCTCGATATCTACGATATTTCCGATATCGGAAAACATCGAGGCACGATAAGCCGAATATATTGCCTTAGTTACGCCACATAATTACACGTTGTAATCTCAGCCATTTCACTTTCAGAAGGTAAAAGAAATAATTCGAGAAGAAACGATGAAATGAAGATAAAGTGTTTCGCGTGTCACGCCTCGTCACGCTCGCAATTAAATCACAGACAGACGGTATGGTACGATACGGTACGACGATGATAAATAAAAAATACATGTTGTACCAATTGATATTATGCTATGTTCGGTATAACATAAGAAACACTATATTTGCTTTCTCCGAGTAAGGACATGCGAATGTACAAGCGTATGCGCGGCATTGCGACTGTTTCACTCACCCGATTAATCGGCTCGATTAATCGTTCGTTGATCGCTGAACTAAATCTTTCATCAACATCCTAGTATTTTTGTATCATCGGCAATTCGAGCGGCGATGAAGTGGCGATGATTGTTAAAAGTACGCTTTCTTCATACCAATCCCGTTATTGTTCGTTTTCCGTTCCATTCTATTCTTTTTTCAGTTCATCACGCGTATCCGCTATTGCGATTCTGGCAACAGCATGCCTGATGAAAAGAAAGGGAAGTAACATTCGATTGTCGGCGCATCAAGAGACTGGCGATACGATAAAAGACGAATTTAACAATTACCAGTCGACTACATAGCGTTCTCTTGATGATTTTTTTGGAACAATAGAGTCTCCTCAAAAATATATTGTTTTAAT